CGAAGGTTTCCAGCGGACTTCTGCCCTCTCAAGGTCTCGGGATGGTAGCGGTCGGCCTCTTTATCCTCGAGTTACATCCGGCTCGTGAGAAGAGTAGGGGTTCTCACGGTGTCAAAGGTTGCCGGAGTGATGTCACAAAGACAAGACCTTGCAATATTTTAAGGATGCACGTGTGCATTGGGACGCGGTTATCCTATCCACAAAAAGAAGCCGACTTTTCAGCTGTGTGACGGGAAAACGTTACAGTTCATACTTTCTGTTCTGGAAACGTTAGGAAGAAGGTGTTCCAGGAACATAGCAAAAAGCATTAAAAACGTATTGATGGCATAAAGGAAGGTCGTGAGCCTTTGTGTTGGGGTTCCCCGTATTTTCTCAGTGCTCTAACATAACAATTCCTGGAATCCATGAGTAGCTGGATTTGCAAAAATCTACTCATAATATCCCCCCCCCACATACATGTAATATTGGTAGCCAAGTGGTCATGGTCACGAATTCATGACCGGCGAGTCGTTAGTTGAGTCCAGGTAGCACTTAAGATCTGATGCACGATAAATTTGTCGAGGTTCCAAATCCCCACGTTGGCGTGCTACCGTACTTTGGAGAGGGGGTGCAAGCTGATATGTCGTCCTTGTCACTTGACTGAGGCTCAAAATTTGTAAGTCCGTCGTCAATAGCCTTTGTGTTGCTTTATGAACGTGACGTTAATCAAAAATAAAAAAAAATCCAATTCTGAGCCTAATACAGAGGTCACGTGCTCTAATTTAAGTTTTCGCTTCGACATACTGTAAACAACTAATATAAAACAAATTTTTAAAGTCTATTCCTACTTAGGTGAACAAAGAAAAATTTTATTTTACTTTATTAAGTGACAAAACACCTTTTAAATTCCCATTAAAAACTTTTTAGGCGCTTTAAATTTGCAATTACATTTTTTAATAAAAGCTGACTATAATAAAGAATTTATCTTAAAACCAGTGTAAAAGGAAAGCAGACGTCTAACTAGCATACGATTTTTTTAAGGTTAAGTTAAATCTTCATTACAAATTTAACAAAAGCTGTTTTATCCAATGGTGCTGTCATCTAGAGGAATATTACTGACTGAAATATTTTTCTCTTAAACTATGATTAATTAAATTTAATTAATGAATTAATATTTGAAAAACTGTATTAACATCAAGTGTCATCCACTACAAGCTTAAAAATATATATTTGGACTTGAGAGTGGATGAATGAAAAGTATTTTATTGACGAATGAAAATTTGAACAAGATATATAAATATACTAGCTGGTATACCCGTTCTTCGCACGGGTGAACTGAAAAATTAAACAACACAGATTGAAGGAAAAGAAGTTTTTAATGAGTTAATTTTATGTGAATTTAAAATTATCCAAAAAAAGATTTTGCATATCTCAGCTAAACAAAAAAAAAAGAAAGAAAAAAACACACCTTTGTTAAATTTTAACTATGTAGATCTAATAGCCGATAAAAAGGATTTTTTAAATTTATAATTCCTCGTAACACTCTTGAGGGTCGATTTTTCAAAATACCTCCCTAAGCTGATCTCTGTTCAGCAAAAGTAACACATTCTTAAAAGTTTTGCATAATGAACGCTTAAAGTAGTGTAAATAATTTATATCTGAAAGTGTAATACATTAATATTACTTTCTGTTGTATTTATTTTATTTTAAAATTGTAATATTCGCAAGCAACGCCGTTTCTTAAATTATAATGACGATTCAATGAAAAGCATAGCGAAATGTTAACGATAGAGTCAAGTTGGCAAATGCCTAGCTACTTTCGTAGCTCGAGCTTTATTAGAGCTTTGTAAGACCCGCCGTGTAGGGACGCGATGCACGTTAATACTTTATCCAACCGCATTATGATTTACTGCAGTTTTTTTTCATACAATTTTTTTTTGGATCACTACATGTACAAATTAAAGGATATACATAAACAAAATACTCAACTTTGGAAAATTTAATCCGTTAGAGCTAATAAATTAATTAAAGATATTCCACTGTAAAATTATGTACACCGTTCACTTAAAATAAGTAGTCAAATCATTTTCCAAGGTCTTCATTAACAGACAAAACCATAAGACACTTAAATTTTGACATTAACTATTTTTTTGCGACAAAAATAATAATCTTTGCAATCCGCTGAAAACGCAATATGTGCTACAAAACTTTTCGCCTTCCCCACTAAAATACTCATCATAGAACCCGTGCTGCCATATATCTTGGAAGAGTGGATTTCAAAGAATATTACAGCTAAGTATTGGTAGAATATTCCTGCTAAGTTGGTGTGGTGTGGTAGTTAGGAGAAGGGGGTGCCAGCTCAAGTGTCGTTCCCGTCACTTGACCATTGATCAAAATTACATGGTCCGTCTCCAAAAGCCCTCGTGTAGCTGAACATTGCGACGTTAATATTCACTCACTCACTGCAAAAAATACAGTGCAGTAGTTATAATTAGTTTTATACTTAAAAATGCAATATCTGCACATATTCAATTAAAATTACAGCGTTATAATTAACTACTAACCACAAAAAAATTATGAAAGTTTGTCCAAATGATGAAGTGTGAAAGAGAAAGTTTATTTACTTTAAGTACCAGAAGCGATAAAAGTAGTTATTTTCAAAAAAGATCAATTTCTTACTACCAAATGTGCATAATAAAATCATAATAAACCCCCATTAAAATAAAGAGATTTATAACAACTTCTCCCTTCAAAACTTAGTTTTATTCCGAAATAAAAAATAGGCATTATTCTGATCACAGGAATTAATTAGAAGCGATTCCTTTGCGTTGCCAAAACAAAAAGAGTTTTTCACAAACAAAAGATAGATATATGCTGAAGTGGGCTTTTTTGCTTGCAGATGGCAGAATTTTTCCTTCTTACTTGACAAATAGCGTTATATTTTGGACACTTTTTACAAATTTTTATAAATTATAGCCTATGGTATAAATTATAGCCTATGTGTTATTCTGATGTATAAGCTATATTACTGTAAAGTTTCATTAAAATCCATTAAGTTGTTTTTGCGTGAAAGAGCCACAAAGATTTTCACAAACTTTCACATTTATAATATATATATTAGATATCGGGAGAGTGTGAACTAATAGTAGAAATTGAAAAAATATAAATTGGCTAAAAAATGTAGCTAGGAGCTGCGAATTTTTGGTACACATATTTAGAAAAACCACACAATTAAAATGACATTTAAAAAAACTGATATTTTGGTCATTTTTAGGCTAATGTGTTCCCTTAACTGTAAGAAAAATTGTACTTAAAAAACCTCAACTAAATAAGATTTTTAAAATTATGTCAAAACGCGATGTCAACATGAAATGCATTTATTTCCTTTACAAAAAAAAAAAAAAAAAAAAAAAAAAGAAAAGAAAAATTGGGAGAGAGAAACAACGCAGACATTTTGATACCATACGCAAATATCAAGCTGCAAAAAAAGGTAAAGATCAAATATCAGACAAATTATTAAACAGATAAAATTGGCATCAAAGAAAGAGAAAACAAAAAGAAAATTTATGCTCTAGGTTTCGGAAGACCAAACAATCATCTCTTTGCTTATCCACGCGTGCAAAAAGAAATCAAAAATAGTCCACATCGTCAGTTGAAGATACAGTTACGCTTTAAAAGAAACTAGGATAACTTTTTCGAAAATCGTTCTTTCTTTAGAACACTTATTTTAAAGAATTCGAAGAACCAAAAAGGAATTGAATTCACAAATTCGAACGAAGATTAGACAAATTTAAAATTAAAACGGGACAATGGAAGCCATTGTTGTCTAGGATTACACATAATCTTAATTTGGGTGGATTAAAACTCGCAAAGACTCGAACAATAACAAAGGGAAGAAATAAATGGCGATAAAAAAAGGTAATATAAGACAATAAGTTTTGGGGAGCGGTTCACTGGGCAATTCATAAGAGCCAGAATAAGATTAATAATAGACTTATTGTGGTATCAATGTCCCAGATCATTCTCTAAGCCTGAGCAATTTCTTAATTGTTTCTGAAGTTAAAGATAATCTTGTATACCATGCTAAAATAATTTCTTTTATTGCATCTACATATCTGTACTTAGAAGAAAAAGATATGCATTTTAGATATGGAAATGTATTTAAACAATTTTTGCACATGCTTCAAAAAGATTTTAAAATATTCAAGCACTTTAGCACAGTCTCGATTTGGATCAAAATACATATTCTACATCAATTTTGAATCGTGCACTGCAGAGTAGTTGAGCTAGAGACACCCAGATTATGCGCTCGGGGCGGTTATGTAAATGAAAAGCAAATAACGTAAGCAATTTTCTGACGATGAAGTGACGGGAATGCGTAATAGTCGTATGCAGCATGGGCATGACGAAATGTTATTTTCGCATTTCATCGTGTTGGGTGCCGATTGTGACATTTGAGAAAAATAATGGTAGTGTGATATTTATTAATTGAAGTATTTGGTTTATTTACGTCACAGCTATTAATGACAGTATATACACTGAAGTAATTAAAAATATTGTTTAGATGATAAGAGTCCCGAATGGATATTGGTGAAGGAGGAGATCACATCTATTCTCAGCGAAGTTTTCAAACCGTGTTTCCTTTGCCCCCTAGAGGTCTCGGGATGGTAGCGGTCGGCCTCTTCATCCTCGAATTATATCTGGTTCGCGGACGGAGTTGGGGGTTTTCTCACGGTGTCAAAGATAGCCGGTGCGATGCCCAAAGACAAGACCTCGCAATATTTTAAGGATGCACGTGTTCATTGACGTGGTTATCTTATCCTATTTTACAGCTGTTACACGATGAATGGGCATGTTTGTCTCGGAAGTGGTACAGGTACTGTACTCGTAACTTAGAACAACGGTAAAGCAACGAGGACGACACCCGAGATGATCTAAACTTCTACATCACACCAAAATGAGGACTTTGAGCCTCGGTAGATTTAAAAAAAACATCATCCCTCAACAATGAAGGTATTAAGTGTTGCATCAGGATTCGAACCAAAGACTCGACAACGCCTATCACGAATACGCGACCATGACCACTAGGCTACTGCAGCCACTGAAACAAGTAAAAACATACGGCCTCGACTGATATGTCGATGTCAGAGTACAAGTACGTATGAAGCGATGGATTCTTAGGTGTGATTGAGTGTTTATTAACGTCTAAGGCAACACGAGAGCTATTGGCGACGGACCTCGTAATTTTGAACCACAGTCAAGTGACAGACCAGGAATGGTCGGACTTTTCCAAGGTACGGGCTACTTCTAATTTTTTCAGTATGTTGCGGTCCATCTAGTGGCGTAGGTGAGGCGAGCTAAAAAAAGGTCACCATCAACGATACTCAACTTGCGGTCAGTGCCCATTGCTCTGAAAAATTCGCTTATTTAAGAACAATACATTAAAAATTTGGTGTCAAAAAATCAACTATATCAATTTTGCTTTTTGTTGTCGATGTCGTACGAGTGCGAATTGATATTCTTTTTCTATTTGTAACGATTACGGTTAGTGATAACAGACAACAGTGGAGTAGTGACAATTTTATGTGGGTGGAACTAATTTTTAACTGTCTTTCATATCTTGCAATATGATATCATCATATATATCGTTTCAAGACGATTGAAAGGTTGACCATTTTGTTGTGAAAAACAAACAGGGATCAGTAATTGTTTGATTCGTCTCGAAAGTGATGTATTTAAAAAAATACCAATAAACACAGGAATCATTCAATGACACTTTTCCTCGAAGATCTTTTTCAATTATTAAAAATGGGCTTTTTTGAATAATCTTTGCAACAGCAACAAAGTGTTTTGTCAGTGGTAATGTCGGAGTGGTAACAAAGACATCTTGTGAAGTTTGTTATACTATTTGGTAATCATTTGAAACCGTTTACTTATGCAGGAATTGTGAAGAAGTGTTCTAATTCACTGACAAAAATAAAAAAAATATAAAAAAATAATAATTAAAGAAAACAAAACAAGAGTTAAAATATTTTGATCAATTTTCCATATTTAACCCCCAAACCCCTCTTTATCCCGCTCGCGTGAAATTGCTAATATATGTATGTGACCCACCGTGAAATAAACGACATATGTATACGGCCCAGCAGAAAGAAAAATTTGAGTATACCTTGCCTACATTGTAGACTTTTCTTTTTCACTGTCTCTAACTTTGGTGTTTTGTAAATAAGTTTTTATTTAGTATGCGCGTTTTAGGTCTTAGTAAAGGTGGTCACCCTAAAACGACTTGGTGGTCCAGCAGTCGATCGTGCCGCGGCTGGATTGCCGGACGATAATGTTCTATTACAGACAGTGCTGTTGAGACAATAATATTTGCTCCTGATGAAGGCGGCGTTAAAACGAGCAGGAAAAGTGCTCGGGCGCAGATGCTGGTAAGGATGTTGGGATAGTAGAGACTGTTTGTAGCCGGGTTTTTGGTTGTGGAGCACCTATAGCCCGTCGGGGCTTTTATCTCCTGTCTTTGAATAAGATACACATGAAACAACTTAATTACTTGCCCATTTTAATTTATAGTAAGAGTTTAAAATTAAGTTCCTATAGGAATAAATAACAGAGAAAATACTTGCTATTCAAAAAATTTACTTGCTAGTGAATTAAAAATTTAAAGAAAACAGCTTTTTTCAAAAGCTAGTACAAAATCATGAAGTTATTGCTATCAGAAAGATTATAGTTTACATTCAAATCCCTAGACCAATGAGAGCACTAAATACTTCGAAAACTCTGAAGCAGTATTCTTTTCTCAAAGAATTCCACCCCCTGAAATTACCCTTTAAAACCAAAGAGAATCCCCTGGTATCACCACGCCAAGTATCTTGGTGTGTATCTTGATAAAACTGTCACGTTCCGACAACACATGCACAAATTAGAACTAAATTTAAAAATGTGTAACGTCGTCAGAAGGTAGCGTGAAAATAATACATCACAGCAAGGTTGTGGGAGTTGTGACATCTTCGATGGGAGTGAACCCCCATCTTCCAAGTCACAATAGGTTTTATGGTTTTACCAGCTGGTCAAGGACAAGTGCCTCACCCATCGATTGTCCCTGAATGTTTTACGATCAACCAGCTGTGGAATGACCGGTGCACGTGGCCATGGGACCATTGTTTATTGTCTGAACTCAGGGAGTGGAGTTAGCAGACGGGTCGGCATAATAGACTTAAGAGTTCGGCGCCCCATTGACAATAGGCGAAGCCTATCTTAAAAATAACCATGTTGTCTTTTTCTAGTGTTGTATGAAAGGGAATACTAGAAACAGGTGGCGTGATGGGCCAGTGTGTCCAGCTGTGGACAAGGAACTATGGTGCCTTGGACCAGACAGCTCGGGTGTGTTTTGGCGTGTTATGCGCCAATAGGAAGAAGGAGGGGGTCAAGAGACTTTGGTCCTGCGAATAAGAAGGAGCGAGGGGCGTGTTGTGAACACACCCCTGTGGTTTAAAAAGGGTTGTTTTTGAGGACACGAGAAGAAGAAAAGACCGGAAAAAAACCTAGAGAGAGAGTAAGAGAGAAGAGACCCGGAGGGAGAGAGAAAGAGAAAAAGACCGGAGAAAAGAAAAAATCCCCGAGAGAGAGTGAAAAAGACGATGAACGCCGGTGGCGTTGAGCATGAGTATATGAACTGACCACACCGGCTTGGCATTTAATCTGGATTTATATTACTTCATTTACAAATTGTTAGCAAATAAAGTTTGCTATTATTTGTATATTAAGCTGTGAAGATTTGTTTATTGATGGATAGCTACTCACGACGTTACAGAGTAAAAAAAAAATACTTTTAATTTTTTTCTCCAATAGGATAATCGTTTTAAGTTAGATTGTGAAGATAATAGTTTCCGTGCCTAGCCAGTATGGTAGCCCCGTTTTGAAGTCGCTCACTCCACAACTTGTCTCGGTCCAGTCCGCAAGGCGTTGTTTCTCATTCGCGTTTTGGATTCCTGGTCAGCATCACAGAACAAAAAACTCTGGGATTCTCCCCTCCGCTTCCTAAAACGACCAGTCCTCGTCTTTTTCAGCTATCTTTTTTCTCTTTTTCTCATTCTCTTTTCCTCTTTTTCCCCTCTACCCGTTTTTCCAACCTTTTAAAACATCAGGGGCAGTCCATTTCTCCCCCCTCACGTCTTCTCATTGGTGGGCCCATATGAGTCGATCCTTGAACCTCAACTCATTAGAGCCCATTGGTCCATAATCCGCCAATCGTCCACTCACCCGGCTTCTTCACAAACCAGCAGATGTCCGACACATGCTCCGACGGCCGAACCCCTTCGGCCCACTGTCGTCGTTTTACCGCCTTGGAGGACAATTCGCCATTGTGTATGTAAGGCGACAGTCCGCTGCCCGGAAGCGATTTCGTCCACAGTAGAATGGTCAGACAATTGTTTGTCTAGTCTAACTGGCACCAAAGTCCAGACGCTAAATAAGCGATAATGAACCCCAGCTGCACGTGCACCCAAAACTCAGTCTAGTATTGTCCTGAAAGAATATTGTCCTGAAAGAGTATTGTCCTGAAAGAGTGAAACTCGTTTCGAAAGGAGGACGTCACAAATGCAACGCATATGTATTATTCCCTTATCTGCCGAAAGTCTAAATTAAATAGACGTAATAAACTGCTTATCTACTCTCTGATCCTAAAACCCCTTCTCACCTACGCTTCACCTGCTCGGCCAATGGGAACGCTCCCTCTCACTTCCCTGAGCAGTGATCCTGTTTTATGATAATTTTCCCGCGCTTTCTGATCTTCGATTCCTTGCTGCACCCTGATTGGTCAGATTAACTCTGCCTACTTTCCTGACTTCTCGATGAAAATTTTTGAGCTCTTAAAAGAGCTTTTGTTTTGTTTTAATGTAGTTTTTAAATTAATTCTCCATTACTTATAAAGTAAATTATTAAATTTTTATCATCTTTTTAAAATGGACAATGGTAAAACTCTTTACAGCCATCTTCATTCCAGGATAGGAGGTTAGAGTCTGGAAGGTCCTCCAAAAAACATCACAACAATCGTGAGATGATCTGTGAAAGTTGCTCCTTTCCCGCGTTAGCGAGAGGGAGCTCTGTGATTGGTAGTTGTGTTAAAGATGCCACTTCGGTCCCGGGAGGGGTACCGTCGTCTTGTTCGGGAGAGAGAGCTTCCATAAGGCCGTACGGTCAACGGAGCTCTCCTATTGATTGCTGAGTTTCTGAAAGTTGGAGTCAGATTATGTCTCTGCGTTGTTGTCGCAATCTGTGTTTCCTCGATCTCTTTCAAGAGATGATAAAGGGGCTTTCTTGAATAATCTTTACAAACAGCAAAAAAAAAGTGCTTTGTCAGTGGTAATGTCACAGCAGTAACAAAGGCACCCTATGTGAAATTTGCTATATTATTGGTAATTGTATGAAACCGTTTACTGATGCAGAAATAGTGAAGAAGTGATTTTTAAATGCTTCCAATTTAGAAAAATTCAGTGAAAAAAATAAAAATAGAAAAAAATAATTAAAAAAGCAAAATATATATAGAAAGAGAGAGAGTTTTAATATTTTGATAATTTTCCACATTTTAAATTTTCTATGTTATCTTGGCCTTAAAGCATCCCCCCCCACCCATTAATCCTCATGTTGCGGTTCGCGTGAAATATCTAACATAAGTGTAGCCCAACAGAAAAAAAGTTTGAGTACCCCTGGTCTAGAGCCTTTACTATATGAAAATGAAAACCAATAACTATACAGCATACAGAAATTTATCTGATCAAACGCACCTCAGAAAAATACTTTATCAAGGCATAAAGCTTAATCCATTAATGAAAATTAAGTAGTCAACTTTACATAAACTGGCTATCTTTTTTTAAAAAAAACGCTTAATTTCCTGTTATCTCCCGTAAAATATGTTTTGCAGCTTCAACATGAAGGAACAGAAAGTACATTAGCGACGTACCTTGTTGTTAATATACTGAAAGGCGGTTTCGACGCGGCCTTTAGTTCCTCATTGAGTGATATTTTAAGAATTTGTACGGCGTCCTCAACGCTAACGTTTTCATCATTTTCCGGCATTATTTTCATTAACTGTAGTAGC